TTCGACGCGATTGATTTATCGATTATGAATTTTTTAGATCACTAATTGATTGACTGTACAGTTCTGTCTCCATGTGTTGACTGCGGATTGCAAACTCAAGAGGCAGTCCGGATCTGCTGCATTCTTCAGTTTTCAAAGTTTTAGTGGTCCTGAGTGCTAGTTGAGTTCGTCAGCCATGAATGGTCTGGACGTACATAGCCACTGCGAAAGGGAGTATATGTCGAGGGTAGAAATTTGTAACACTTTACGGGTCCCTCGTTTATTAGTAGTATATTACGCCTATATGAGTATCGCGATCTCTCGAATATCGTACCAAATGAAACGTGAGGCGGCCTGGTGCAGCACATTCAGTTGCTTAAAAACATCACAAACGAGGAATTCGGTTGGGCTCCAGGTGATTCTCCAGGAAAACCAAATTTGTTTTTAAATGAGGTTAATTCGCTAATTTGGGATGAGATGGCTCAAGTGGTTAGCGCACGGATTTACTGACCAGAAAGTCCGTGGTTCGACTCCGACCTCTGCCTCTCGACTTCCCCTGTCTAAGCTTGGGCAAGCTGATAGTATCACAGCCCTCATGCTTCCTTCGGGTGGCATGGCAGCTAGGAACCGAAAGGGTGCTATAGCTGAACGATTATTTATTTATTACTTCGCTAACTTTGTGCAGTTTGGTTTCAAGTAGAACATAAGGTAGACGGAAACTCGAGGACTGCGCCTACCTGATGAGAGCAAAAAAGGGCGAAACCGGTCATGGGCTATCAACGGATTTTCAGCAACCTTATGAGTAGCACATTACAAAGATATGTTCACAAGGTTTATCACAGGCTAGATTCCATTACGCTCTCCATGTTACTAGCTTTTCCATGTTAACTCAGAGGACAAACTTGAAGTGAAGAACGCGGCAAAGTGTCTCGAATTCCCAAATTGACCTGCTGATCATTTCGAAACCAAGATAAGATATTTCATCCAGGCATTCCTCGAAAATGTCGAAAGATGTTATTCGGGACATTTTAAATTCATCTGAGAGCTTGACACTACTTAAACATGGCTTGGCGTACCTTGGATAGCATGAAAAGCTACGATATTCATTTTAAGTCATTAGACAGGAATGTACTGATCTCATAGGCACATTGTCTTCAAGAACTAAAAATTCTCACGCGTTGTGTTCAACTTTCCCTGACTATTACATGATAGTAGACGAACACTGTAAATAAGTTCCACAATTTCCGCAGTAAACTTCACCTTCTCTCAGATGCGGGGAGGAGCTTGGTCACCAACCATAGACTACTACTTACATAGTTCATCAGTAGTGTACACCGTCACAAAACAACCAATTCTAGGAACCCCTGAAAAATATATTTATTGGTGATTTGGGCGTATTTTGACCCCGTGTGTTCTATGAAGACAACCTTTTAGATTGGCCCCAAGCTAACTATTGCCAATTAGTGCAGTTTTTTAGTTTTACCGTACGTTACGTCTAGCCGTTTGA